AAAATAAATAAATAAATGAAGCGACGTGTTTACCAGCCCTCCCTGGGCTGCTTTCGATCTCCTTTTTGATGGAAATATGAAAGGAAAAATAGGGCTGCTGTTATCCTTTTTCTTTTCTTTTTTTTCTTCACCTCCCAACCCTCCCTACGTCTTTTGCAGGACGTTGGGATGTCTCTGCGGTTTGAGGAGCTCAGCCCGCGTCCCGTAGTGAGAGAAGGATCCGCGCTCACGGATAACGAGATAATCAGCTCTGCGTCTCCCTCACCCAGCACCGAATGCTTCGTGCTTATGTTTCTGTCACACTTGGTGGTGTTTTAATCCCTACATCGTAGCAAACGCTCGTGTCTCACTAGCACTGCTGGCAAGCAGACGGGCAGAAACTTTCTTTCGTTTCTTGTTTCTTTTTTCCTTTGTAAATGAAACACGAGGGCTTTGGGTAAGGAAGGAAGAAATCCAATTTACAAAACGAAATCTGTCCCGGGATGGTTTCTCTTGTTTAGCGGGCGATGTTCGACACACAGGACTCTCTTCCTTATCGCCGTGTGAACAGCGCTGGAATTTAGAAACTCTGTGTGCTGACGCGTTGGTGCCCTCACCCGCTTTTAGGTGCTTCGCTCTTATTTTTCTATAAGGGAAACCGAAGTGGAAGGGCAGGGCGGGACGGAAGGGTGGGGGAATAGGTGACTTTATTGGTGCTTGTTCCAGCCTAGGGCTTTTATGGGGAGCCGTCCGCTGCCCTAAGGCACTTGTGCAAGATAACAATATTGGGCAATTAGCATCCCAAACAGTCCCGTTTCAGGGGATGAATGCGCAAGGCAAAGCCATTACCCATCGCGTTTTATTTCGGTGGGAATACAACAACAAACGCTGGTGGGAGCCAATGGGGGATGGGGAGGGAGGACGGGAGGCAGCCCGAGCCGATTCAGGGCATTGTCTGCCTTTTGTAAACGTTATCTTTTGACTTAAAGGCAGGGGTAGGACAGAAGAGAGTTGTTGTTGTTTCCCTTGTTTCTATCTTATTTCTCCCTCTTAGGACACCGGGCAGCCCTGGAGAACTTTGGGACACGGGGATACGGAGATGTGCGGCTCTGCCCGCACCGGGCACGGCTGCACGCCCTTTGCGCACTCTTTGCGCGCTCCTTGCGTGCCCGCTGCCTCCCGATCGACTTCGTCCGGAGGAACACTTCGCAAATAGCGAAGATCTATCGCAAGCGGTAACACTGCCTCTCGGGCTTTACGAGCCTGTAACGCCTTTCAAGTCCCAACTCCCTCCCGCTCCATCATTGCTCCACTGAAAATGGGAAAATACCTCGCTTCTGCCCTTTCCCTCTCTCCCTTTCTGCCCAAATCAAACAGAACCCAAACCACTTTTAGGGCTTCAGACACCGGGGCTGCTCTCGGGGAGGTGTCGGGGCTGTGCGCGACCGCACCCCCGCTCCGAGCCGTCCCCGTCCCTTCCAGGCTCGAGAGCAGAGCTGAAAGGAAAGCACTATTTCAAGTGGCCCAAATTAATTTGATCGCGACATTATGATGCACTTGGAAAAGATGAAAGAAAAGGCTGCCCGTCTCCTCCAAGATCTCTATAATTATAGATAATATATCCTATTTCAAAGCAATTAGCTCAATCAGGCGTAACGAGGCACTTTGCTGCCAGGGAGTAACAATGCCTTACGGTTATTTAAGCTTCAAGATGTCAAGCAGACTTCGAGACTCTCTGCTCTGCCCGAGAGGGAACTTGGCTGCCTTGGTGCTCGCCCCATGGCGAAAGCAGCGGTTCCTCTTTAGTGACAACACGCTTGTTTGACTTCAGCGTTATTTTTACAGCTCCTGCAGTTCCTACCAGAGGAACATCTCTTCTCCATGGGCATTTGCGGCCGGCATTTGCCGGCCATCTCCTTTGCCTTTTCTTGGAACCTTTCGTGGTTTTTTCTGTGGGGGATTCCAACTGCAATACTCATGGGATGAGTACCCGCAGCCTCCTGTTCCCAGCCAGCACCTTCGAGCGCTCCGAGCTCTCCTCGGTTTTGTTGTTTTGTTTTTTGCCTTTCACTATTAACCATGGTTATTATTATTATTATTATTATTTTGACCTTGAACGCTCGCAGATGCCAGAGGTCCTAAAGCAAAGTGAGCATCCCACTACTGCACCCAGCAGCAAGTCATTGGGCCGCGGATGTGCTGCCCGAGTGTGGAATGGAGTCTGCCTGGCACCCCGGTGGGGAGCGGAGGCTGAAATGCTGAAATCACTTCCTCTTCACTGAAAGCTTCAGGAGGGGTGTGTGGAGAGGGTTGGCCCCACTGTTTCCAGGGGACCGAAATGCCAAGGAGGAAGAAAAAAAAAAAAGAGGGAAGGAAAAAGGAAGGAAGAAAGAAAGGAAGGAAGGAAGGAAGGAAAAAAAAAAAAAAAAAAGACGTTTTTGCTCTTTCTCGCTGCCACTGCAAAGAGATGCTCTAGTCGAGCCGCATGGCACGGCAAGGCAAGGCAAGGCAAGGCACGGCACAACAAGGCATGGCACAACCCCCGCCTGGCCTCGGCCCCGAGAGGCCGTGCAAGCAGCCCCGGCCCCTGTGAGGCGTTCTCGGTGCTGGAAGGAAAAATGAGCAAGGGTACAATTAACCTGTCAGCTCCCCTTGCAGGGATTTTTTATTGCTGGGGAGTAAGGAGGGGAGGCGGGGGGTGGAGGGGGGGAGGAGGTGGGAAGTGGGGTAATATTATATATAAATATATAAAAAAGAAAATACAACGAAAAAACCATCGTCCCATGGGTGAGTCATTTGAACTGGACAATTCAAGGGAAATAGGAGGCTGGGAGCATGAATGAGAACTAAACAAAGTTTAACCACCCCTCCTTCTTTTCTCCATGTGCAAAATGGAAACCTTATTACATGATTCACTGTGAATCACTAGATTGAATGCGATCATTATGAGTAAATGATAGTCCAGGCTCCGCCGGTCTTTTCTTTCCTAGAGGCAAAACTATAAAATATGAAGGATATAAATGATCTCCTCTCCTCTCCCTCAAAGGACGCCCATTCACAGCCACTCTCTCTCTCACTCCCAGTTCCTTTTGCCCCCCACCCCCCACCGAATTCCCCATGATCAAGGTAGATTACAAGTCCCTCTTTTTTTTTTTTTTTGTCTTTGCGTGCTTGTTTATTGGCAAAATGTCATGAAATGTAATTTGTCCCAAATTCTTTAACATGAGAAAATACTTTGTGGTTGGAAGAATCCACGCTGGTACTGCTGAGGCGATCTCTGATGCTCAGAGCAAGTTCCTTATGCTGCCATTTTACAGCATTTCTGTGTTTACTCCTCAGTTCTCAGGAGCTTTTTACATATTGTTGCATAAGAAAAGGATTTCGCCAGCTCTAGTTATGAGATTTCCTAGATTTTTTACAGGCGAGGCTGGTTTACAAAAGCTGTATTGTTTGACTGCGGTCTGGGTTTCCATTTGGGGTAATTATTGTATTCCCAGCC